GGAAACCCACAAGAAGCCCCCACGACCCACAACCACGTGCGATCCACTCGCTGACGCGAGCAACCGTAAAAACACCCGTTGGTGTTGGCGGCAGAGGCGGCACCCAATAGATAAGTTGACACAAATTCATGGATGTTCCACACAATCCCATATTTATTTTCTGCTTTTCCTTCCCTCCACTTGCGATAATTCTTTTCACGGGCATCAATATTTATTTGTGTTTGTGTATATTTATCTCCTGAAGACTGACGGCGGCCGCTGTTGGGCGGGCGGTTTTCTGCCTCGAGCGGGCACCGTCAGCGGCGACGCTGACAGCGAACCCTACTCAGAATCGGCATGGATTGCTCCTGATATTTTCCCAACCGTCCTGTGGTGTTGGGTCCTCGTTTTGAAGAGACAGCGCCCCGCGACACTCCTTCCTTCCTCCCGCTGCCCTCCTCCCTCCTCCTCCTTCTCCTCTTCTCTCCTCCCTGCGTTTCACCCACCCGGCGCAGCGTTTCGCGGCCCCATAGGGAGCTCCGCCGAAGGCCCCAGTGGCAGGGTTCGCGCGGCGGCCTCGGGCCATTTCGGCACACCCCTCTCGAGGATCGTGGCCCCATTACGGAGCCCCACCGAAGGCGCCAGTGGCAGGGTTCGCGCGGCGGCCTCGGGCCATTTCGGCACATCCATAGGGGGCTCCGCCGAAGGTGCCAGTGGCAGGGTTCGCATGGCGGCCTCGGGCCATTCCGGCACACCCCCCTCGAGGATCGTGGCCCCGTAGGGAGCTCCACCGAAGGCCCCAACGGCAGGGTTCGCATGGCGGCCTCGGGCCATTTCGGCACACCCCTCTCGAGGATCGTGGCCCCATTAGGGAGCTCCACCGAAGGCGCCAGTGGCAGGGTTCGCATGGCGGCCTCGGGCCATTTCGGCACACCCCTCACGAGGACCGTGGCCCCACTAGAGCTCCACCGAAGGCGCCAGTGGCAGGGTTCGCGCGGCGGCCTCGGGCCATTCCGGCACATCCCTCACGAGGAGCGTGGCCCCATATTGTGCTGCTTCAACATCCGCGCCTGGGCGTCGCACTCGCCTTGTCGACGTGCAACGCCACCTCTTCCCTCATGGCTCTCAAGGCCCTCTCCTGCTTCTGCTCCTCGGTCAGAGGGACGCCGTCCTTGTCGTCGTCGGCGCCCGCGAAGACGGCCACGAACGTGTCCCTGAGCATGTCGGGCTCCGGCGGGAAGCCGTGGCCACATGGGGATCGCTGGCGAAGATGGTATTCACAATCGCGGTATTCACAACTGCATACGGTGGGTCTCTCGCCAGGCTAATTGTCCGCACTCTTTCCGCACCCGATTTGATCGTCGCACCGAAAAGGGGGGGGAAGCGGCAGTGCTGCCGCAGGGCGCGAGGAAAGGGGCGACGGGGGGCGCTGGCGCGCTCCACTCTGCGCGCCCCCTGGGCCGCTCGCTCCCAACGCGAGTAGAATGGGGGAGGGCCGCTGCGGCAGCGGAATCCGTCGCTTTGCTGTCTCCTGACGCGCGATGCGACGCGCGATGCGGCCACCCCTGTTCGCCCCGTGGCCTAGAAAAAGAGCCGTCTCGGAGCTCACGGGATAATGCCAGGGTAGAGGCGCAGCAAACTGAGGGTGCCTTCGTTTCAGGACATTCTGGAAAAGCACGACCCGTGCACGGCCCTCTGGCCCTGGTTTCACTGACTCCGACATCGGTGGGCGGTGCAGAGAGCAAGGACCCTGCAAGGTCGCTGGGACGAAATTGAAGCAGAGGGTCCCAATGCGAGCCAGCGCGTATGGACGAGGGTCGTGTGAGGGTCCCTGGTTGGTCTCGTTTGGGATGTGATGCGGATCTCTTCTGCCAGCGCCCCTGCTGCCGGGACCCAGGGGGCCGCACGCAAGATGCCACCTGAGGTTGGCTTCGACTGGTCAGCGCCCATGAGGGGCAACGACGACAGGGGGACCGGCTCAGGGGGGAACATCAAGCTTGAATCGGCGATGCATCGCCAATAGATGGGTGGTAGGCCTCCGATAACGAATTCGCACGTCCCTGGGCGGGGTGGGCTATCAGGTTCCTGATAGGCTATCAAGGGGCGATTTGAGATGGACGCATCCCCCCGTGAGCCAATCCCGCCCTTTGACGGTGCCCTTGAGTGTAAGATGGCACATGGGGTTAGATTCCTCGACTGGTCGGTGCCCAGCGCCAAAGCTGCACGTGAGTCGACCAAGCGCCCGCTCAAACAGCACTGCGAGAGCAGCCAGGATCGAGATTCCTGCGAGACCCGGCCGCTAACCCTCCCCAAGCCACCCGCTGAATGTATGGTCGAGCGGAGAGCAGCTACTATGGGCAATCCCCACAAAGGAGCTGCTGCGAATGGTTTCCAGGTCTATCGCGTGTGACTGTGCCGTCACACGTTACAGAACTATTTACGTATGGTCGTTGCACATGTTATGTTTACTCGGTTTGTGTATGTGGCCACGTTGCTTCAAGTGTTGGTGGCGCGCGTTGGTAAATGCACGATGCGTGTAAAACGATATGAGACCGAACGACATCATGACATGGAATATCGTGTCTCGACAGTGGATTCGACTGTTATGTGACAGTGGTGTATGCGACGCCCAAGCTAAAGTGATGTGATTGGTGCCCTCTATGAACACCTGCCCTTACGTGTATGCGAATGATGCCCATGGAATTCGGGGGCCTGGCGGCCACGGTTTGCAGGGCAGGTGGGCGGGCTTCTCCCCCAAATCTAGCAGCCCCATCCTGTCGAGCGACGGAATTATCCGGGCAAAGCAACCTAACAGCGATGTGTAGGAGCCTATCTGGAAGCATCCCCCTTAAGATTCAGATGGAATTCAGTTATACAATTCTGCTGTTCTCGCAGTCGTAGTCGCATTCGCGATGACAGTCGCAGTGGCAACGGCAGTCGCAGTCACAGCCTCAGCCTCAGCCTGCCTCAGCCTCAGCCTCAGCCTGCCTCAGCCTCAGCCTGTCTCAGCCTCAGCCTCAGCCTGCTTCAGCCTCAGCATCAGTCTGCCTTCAGCCTCGGCGCAGCCTCAGCCTGCCTCAGCCTCACCCTGCATCAGCTCCTCAGCTGCCTCAAGCATCAGCTGCTTCAGCCGCAGCCTCAGTCTGCCTCCAGCTCAGCCTCAGCCTGCTTCAGCCTCAGCCTGATCAGCCTCAGCCTCAGCCTCAGCCTGCCTCAGCATCAGCCTGCTCAGCCTCAGGCCTGCTCAGCCTGCAGCTCAGCCTGCCTCAGCCTCAGCCTCCAGCCTGCTCAGCATCAGCAGCATCAGCCTGCTCAGCCACAGCCTCAGTCTGCCTCAGCCTCAGCCTCAGCCTGCTTCAGCCTCAGCCTCAGTCTGCCTTCAGCCTCGGCCTCAGCCTGCCTCAGCCTCAGCCTGCATGCCTCAGCCTCAGCCTCAGCCTCAGCCTCAGCCTGCCTCAGCCTCAGCCTCAGCCTGCTTCAGCCTCAGCCTCAGTCTGCCTTCAGCCTCGGCCTCAGCCTCAGCCTGCCTCAGCCTCAGCCTGCATCAGCCTCAGCCTCAGCCTCAGCCTGCCTCAGCATCAGCCTGCCTCAGCCTCAGCCTCAGCCTGCCTCAGCCTCAGCCTCAGCTGCTTCAGCCTCAGCCTCAGTCTGCCTTCAGCCTCGGCCTCAGCCTCAGGCTGCCTCAGCCTCAGCCTCAGCCTCAGCCTCAGCCTCAGCCTCAAGCCTGCCTCAGCCTCAGCCTGCCTCAGCCTCAGCCTCAGCCTCAGCCTCAGCCTCAGCCTGCTCAGCCTCAGCCTCAATCTGCCTTCAGCCTCGGCCTCAGCCTCAGCCTGCCTCAGCCTCAGCCTGCCTCAGCCTCAGCCTCAGCCTCAGCCTGCCTCAGCCTCAGCCTGCCTCAGCCTCAGCCTCAGCCTCAACCTGCCTCAGCCTCAGCCTCAGCCTCAGCCTGCTCAGCCTCAGCCTCAGCCTGCTTCAGCCTCAGCCTCAGTCTGCCTTCAGCCTCGGCCTCAGCCTCGGCCTCAGCCTCAGCCTGCCTGCATCAGCCTCAGCCTCAGCCTCAGCCTGCCTCAGCATCAGCCTGCCTCAGCCTCAGCCTCAGCCTGCCTCAGCCTCAGCCTCAGCCTGCTTCAGCCTCAGCCTCAGTCTGCCTTCAGCCTCGGCCTCAGCCTCAGCCTGCCTCAGCCTCAGCCTGCATCAGCCTCAGCCTCAGCCTCAGCCTGCCTCAGCATCAGCCTGCCTCAGCCTCAGCCTCAGCCTGCCTCAGCCTCAGCCTCAGCCTGCTTCAGCCTCAGCCTCAGTCTGCCTTCAGCCTCGGCCTCAGCCTCAGCCTGCCTCAGCCTCAGCCTGCCTCAGCCTCAGCATCAGCCTGCCTCAGCATTCAAAATGTGGCCCGGGAATGGAGTTCTGGGAACTCGAAGAACACGAAGTGGCCTACAGTTGGCTCCGGGCATTCAAAATCATGCCCAGAATGGAGTTCTGGGAACTCGAAGACCACGAAGTGGCCTACAGTTGGCTCCGGGCATTCAAAATCATGCCCAGGAATGGAGTTCTGGGAACTCGAAGACCACGAAGTGGCCTACAGTTCGGGCATTCAAAATCATGCCCAGGAATGGAGTTATGGGAACTCGAACACCACGAAGTGGCCTACTGTTGGCTAAAAAAAGAATCCCTGGATTACCGCGGCACCCGTCCGGCATCTGCCCAGACCCCCCTGGGGAGTCATGATGCTCTCTTTTGAGCCCACTAGAACACTATCAGTCTTCGCTCTTAGGTAAAAACGCACCAGAAGGCACTGTGCCGCGCGCCGCGCGCACGCGGCCATAGTGACGCTGGGCAACTCCTCGAGGTCTGACGTTGCTCTCTAAGCCGGATAATGCCAGATACGTCGCGCGCGTTGTTTCCACTGCGCAGTGGAGCGCGGGCGCAGTCGCTTTTTCAAAACGGTACAAAGCAACAGCGGGCCCCTGAAGGGCCCCTAGAGTGTGCGAAAGGTGCTGCTTCCTTCAACCTCCATTCTTAGCCTCCCCATTCCAACTCACCCGAGCACCAGGAAGACAACCCTGGCTGGCACGTCCCGGCTTCCCCGTGGCAGAACGTCGCTTGCGCCACGCCCACCCGGGAGCCTCAGTCCTTCGTGTGCTTCGCCAGCATTGCCGCCCGCCGCTTGCGGCTCTCCTCCAGGTGCTTCGCTACGGTCTCGTCGTCCTCCTCATCCTGCAGGGGCAGGACAGGAGCGGGGATCGGGAAGACATCGAAGGAGAGAAGCGAGCAGCGAGCGAGCGGGGAACGGCTGTCAGGATGGCGGGGGGAGGACGGAAGAAAACCTGCACGCCCCGCGAGGACCAAGGGCACGCATCTCTTGTATTGGCATCTTCGCTCGCTCTCTCTCTCTCTCTCTCTCTTTCTTTTTGTTCCTCTCTCTCTCTTTTTTCTTTCTCTCTCTCTCTCTCTCTCTCTCTCTCTCTCTATATATATATAAATGTGTAGATATACACTTGTTCGTCTATCTCGCCCTCTCTCCCTCTCTCTCTTGTCTTACCGCCCCTGGCGCAAGTGCCGTAACAACGGCGCATTGATCAGGGAGAAGAAATCATCTCATCGCAGGCCCAATCGCAGTCAGTCACCGTATTTCGGAAAACGACATAGAACACGATCGCGACGATGCGCCTATGGACGGACTTCAAAAGTCCGACCCAGGCAGGGGCACTGCCATGAGCGGGTCGAAACATCATGTGGGGCGGCGCGCCAAGGGAGTGACACAAGGGGGGCAGACCTTCTTAGAAGGAGCCCGCCCGACTTCTCAGAACACTTCTTTGAAGGTCCTGGGGCCTTCTAAGAAGCCTCTGGACCTGCCCTCTTAGAAGCCCCCCGCCATCTTAGAAGGCCGCCCCGCCCCCCGCGCGCCACTCACTTAAGAGCGCCGCCAACCTGGTTCCGACAGGCTCCCGGTCGCAGCAGTCGCAGCCCTACCAGAGAGATCAGGCATTGGAGGACTCCCTAGGCTCGGGCGTTTGGGGCACGGAAACGCTGCGCCACGACCTTACGCGCGACCTCCGTGGGGAAGGGTCCGCTGCTGCCGACCAGGGACCTCGGCGGGGCCCGGCGAGGATTCCACAGGCCGAAAAACTGCCAAAACCTATCGTCGCGATTGTCTGGAATGGCCCTGATTCCGCCCGCACGCCGTGGGCCCCCGGCTCCGTTTGTTTTCCTCTGAGTCTAACCCTGACGATGAAAGCTGAAAACAACCCCAAATGATGGGAAGGGAACTCCATGCTCGTACAGGCCAAAGCGAAGGAGTAGGAGGACGGAAAAAGGATTCATTAAGGGAATAACCAATCTCACAAACCTAAACTGCTGGATGTCCGCGCGGATCTATCGGATCGGCGCCGAACTCTCTTGCCTGGCGCGCGGAGCGCACCAAGGGCGGCGCCAGAGGCGCCGCCAGAGGGCTCTGACGTCGATCCGAGAAATCCGCGCGAAACTCCAAACACAAATCATGTTTATTTGATGTTTTGCGGCCCGATGGACAACCAGGGAAGGGTAGCAATACTGAGTGCACCCGTGTGTCCGGATATCGTGTACTGCTTCGCGGGTACACGCACACACACACACACACACACACACACACACACACGCAGGGCAGGCGCCAAGTCCCCGCTCGGCCGAGGCTTCGCGCCTCGGTGCTCCGAGCCGAGAGAGCACGCGGACACACCCGTCTGCGCATCCAGTCTCGCCGAACGCCCAATGCGAACACTCGTGCCCGAAGCGGGCATCAGGGCCCAGCAAACCTGGACACGCTACACTCAACGCGAACAAGGAGGATGCGTGGTGGAGGATGTAAGGGCCTTGGAAGGCCATGTTGGCGTTTTTCGGACAGGGTTCGCCAGCGAAAGTGGTCAAGGATGGGCCGAAAGGGGAAACCAACCTAGGAAAATCCGCCGGCCCCTTGTGGGTCTCTAGGCGTGTGAAGTTTTTTCCCCCCGAAACTCTCCGAAAAGACCCCAAACCAAGAATTTGACCCCCGCCGGCCCGGTACGGCCCCAGACAGAACGCGCCATGGGGGAGCAGAGGGCCCCAAAACATGCCAACAGGGGACTAATACGCCTCCTAGACGGTCCAAGAAGGCCAAAAAATCGCTCCAAGACGCCCAAGATGATCCCAAGACGGCCCTAGCAAGCAAGCAAGCGAAGGCCACGCATCCTACCCGAAGTTGCCCCATAGGCAACCGAGTGAGATAATGAAAACATAAGTGCGTCGAGAATTGTAGCGAAGGGAAGAGGGAGAGAGAGAGAGAGAGAGAGAGAGAGGAGGGGATACAACAACTGGCAAAGAAAACAGGGTGGCTGATCACAGCTACTGCGTCATCTTGAACACTTCAGATGCCCATTGCTGCCGGGGCCGACCGCGACGACGACGAACTGCCCAATTTTGAGGCGCACCGTTGTTTTGACATACGATTTTCCTCACCAGCGAGTAGTCCCAACTTCAGCTATTTTGCCGTAGAGCTTCCGTTGTCTGCCAAGCAGAAGTTCAGACAGAGGTGCCTCCTGCGCTTCATTCAGAACCTCCACGCTGCTTACTCTGGACACGTATGAGTGTGGAATACCAAGAATCTTGCGCACGCATCTGCAATGGAATGCATATAATATGTTGTTGTCTGCTTTGAATAACCACATGGAGTCCAAGGAATACAGCAGCTTGCTGACCACGCAAGTGGTATAGATGTTCAGTTTCCGGCGCTTCCCGATTGAGGTGTGCGACCAAACCCTCTGCAATTTGTTGAAAATGTCCGCACTGTCTCCCAACTTTCGGGACAGTTCGTTCCCAGCCTTGCCGTCGCAAGATACCAAACCCCCCTAAGTAGATGGCGTCCCTCGCGGTCTTGATGGGTTCGCCTGTGGGTCTCCTGACTTCCCCGAGAGAAGATATAGTTATCTGAATCGTTTTGTCCCATTTCAATTCTAAGCCGTACCTCTGCCCTTCTGTCACAATCGCCGCCAACATAATATGCAAATTGCTTGGGTGCTGCGACACCAACAAGGTGTCGTCTGCAAATATAAGATGTCCCGGGAGACGACGCAGTCCGGCTCCTCTTGCAGAACCAATCCGGCCAACGCGTGATGCAGCAGAACAGTTTGAACGGCGATAAACAAGTAGGGGATCAGCGGGCATCCCTGGGCATTCCCAGCTGATTGTTTTCTCTCGGATGATCTTCCACAGTGGTCCACGATGATGAATTACCTCTAAATCCCCTGCACCATTTTTACACGTGGCCCAAGGAGCCCAAATCTCTCACGCGCAGCGCACATGCATTCTGGTTTAAGACGATCAAAAGCCTTGGCCCAATCCAACAATAACAATATGAGCCCGCCACTATTGTTCAAGTGCGCTGCGTCCACCATCCGTCGCACCAATAACAAAGCGTCCGCTGTGCCGCGTTTCGGCCGGAAGCCAAACTGGGACTCCCCCGTTCTACTTTCGCAGCCTCCGTCGATAAGCCTCTGGTGGATCATTGCCGCAAGCGTCTTATATCCCACGGCAAGGAGGGAGATCGGCCTGTAGTTGCTAGGTAAACACGCGTCGCCTTTCTTGAACAATAAAATGACGTTGGCTCGCTTCCAAGATGCGGGTGAAGCTTTGGTCCCCCAACATGTCTGACATACGTGCAGTAGTGACCCACATGCTCCCGAACCGTCTGCGAAGATCTTCCAAAATTCTTGTGGGACGTCGTCGGGCCCGGCGGCTTTTTTGTTCTTCATCTTCCGGATTGCTGGCTGGTCGGCGGGGGTCAGCCAGGGCGCCAGATCTTGCAGGATCCTGCAGAACTGCAGGGTCGCATCGACCCGGGCGTGGGTGCAGGGTCCTGCAGGGTCCTGCGGGATGCCGCAGAGCCAGGGTCGCACTGACCCGGGCTCGGGTGCAGGGTCCTGCAGGATCCTGCAAGGCCTGACTGACCCGGGTTTGGATTGACCCAGGTCAGCAGATCCCCGAGCGCAACTGTTTGAAAACGATCCGAGGCAAGGAAGCAGCCGGGAACCGACGAAAATGTCCAGAAATCTTGAACCGTGAACCTCGAGTACCTGCAGGGAGTACGCTTCCAAGCATATGCGTGCTTGTTGGTACCAATTTGGCGAATTGCACTCGCCACTGCACTTTTTCGAAGTAGTCCCCGAGAGCATCTGGCCTGGCTGCCGTGTCGGTGAGGTTCCCGTCGAGATCTTTCACACAAGCGTGTTTGCGAGCCAAATCACCCCAGAGGCCTCCAAGAGGTCTCCCAAGAGGGCCCCAAGAGGCCAAAATTATTGATTTTCCCTTGCTTCTGAAGGTTGTTGGGGTTCTCGCCCTTACAGCTTTCGGACGCTCCAAGGCCGACCAAGAGGGCCCGAAGACCGCTCCAAGACGGCCCAAGGGGCCCCCAAGACGGCCCAAGAGGGCCCCAAGACTGCCCAAGAGCCGCCCAAGACGGCCTCAGAGGCTCCAAAGGCGGGCCCAAGAGAGGCCCTCGAGGGGAACCAGGAACTCAAAAATCTAGCCGTCTGCCCCAAGACGCTCCCAGGAGGCCCCGTAACGGCCCAAAGAGGCCCCAAGACGCGCCCAAGACGCCCCCAAGACACCCCAAGAGACTCCCAAGAGGCCCACAAGAGGCCCCAACGACTCCCAAGACGCCTGAAAACTGCCTCCCAGAGGCCCCCGAGAGGCCAACCACGAGATCCCAACCAACACACACGAGGTCTCTCACCCACCACCCAGGCACGGTGGCGGAATACGCCGAAGGCCACTAGATCCGCCGCCCCCTGCTTGCAGGGGTGCACGGCGTGCTGGACGAGCTGTTAGGTTTTGGTTTTGGTTCTTTTTCCAAAAGAACTCCCCAGTGGGCTCCGGCAGAACCCGCCGGCCACCCGGAAGGGTGCTCAACGACCGGAAAAAATCCTCCAAAAACGGCCGTTTCGCTCGGAACATCCTCAAAAAATCGCGAAGATGGCCCAAGATGGCCTCCAAGTCCGCCCGAGATGGTCCAAGACGGCCTCCAAAACGGCCCAAGAGAGTCCAAGACGGCCCAAGACGGCCCAAGAGGCCCCCCAGAGGCCTCCCAGACGGCCCAAGAGGCCTCCAAGAGGTCCTCCAGGAGAGTCCGAAGAGGCCAAAATCATTGATTTTCCCTTGGTTTTTGAAGGATTTTGGCATTTGCGCCTTTTCGGCTCTCCGACGGCTCA